ATCTGGAGGAATTTGAGCCGTAAACAGTGAATTCCGGCTGGTTTTTCAACCAACCCAACGGCGCCAATAGCATATGCAATCATTTGAAACTTGCACCATATCACCTAAGATAAGTGATAGAGCTTAAAATGAGATCTTGGATGAGGGTAGCAGTGATATAGCCATCAGTAGTTTCCCACAATTCTTAAGATGATTGAATTTTCCTATCAAGGAATTATACGTGCAATTATGGTTATACTATCAATATAGACGTGTTAAACATTTAGTTAAAATATATAAATATAGATAAAGCAACAACTTATATAAATTATGTCATGGTTACTAATATGGTTTTTAAAAATTTGTTAGCATCATTAGTATATGAGTTGTTAAGGAAATATTTTGTTGTTGAAACATAACATATATATTTATCGCACATGCATGCTGACACAATGGGTATGCTTACATTAATCAAATCTTAATATGTTAATATTGATAGAAGTGGGTAATGTACAAACATCTACATGCTCTATGGTTATATAACTATTTTTAATAGAAGATATTGATTATTTTTAGATGTATATTTGAGAGGATATTTAATTTTCTTAGTAATGAGATGAAAATTGGGTTACATAAATAAATTATTTATTCTAATAGGAGTACGTCGGTAATTAGATGCAAATTTAGGTCTACTTTAGATCATGTCCCGTAATAGCATATATGGGTAGTTTAAATATAGAGTCATGAGTTATTTTATGTCGTATTTATGTAATAGCAGAATTGAGTAATTATTTAGAAAATAGAATAGATCCAATAGCTATTATTATCAACGGCAATTAGGTTATTACCGAATTGATGGTCAAATATTTTAGATTATTGTGAGAAATTTCTAGGATCTATCTTTTATTTTCCTATTGTGTCTCGTGAGGATTAACGTAGAGCTCTATTAAAGACCTCTAGTTAGCATTTTTAGTATTTATCTTTTTGTAGTCTGACATGCATTTAGTTTAAACATAATCATAAGATATATAAACTCTCATGCCTTTCTGTGACTTCACCAATTATAGTTTAGCTTTCGACTTTTAACCAAGTTGTACAATTTTTCCCACATGTTAAATAGAAACTCTAGTGTTTTTTTACTTTTTATTCAAAAAATATTTTTATTAAAAAGAGTTTAGGTCTTAGTAATATTGTTTTCCGCATGTTAATTAAGTTGAAACTCCCCTAGCACAGAGCTTGTTGAATTTGTTACATCACATAATTATATGTGTCTAGTATTATTTTATATATATCGTAGAGTGCTAAAAATTTAATTACCAATATTGATATGACATAATGTTTCAGTTACAATGTATACAGTTATTTAAAAACAACTTATGAAATTCATTGTTAGGGAGTATTAGTATAGTTTAAAGGAATTGCCGGTGTTATATTATTGCTATGTGGTTTGTCAATTAAACATTTTTCATTCTGCACAGATAGTGAAAGTATCAATCACATTTTCTTTGAGTGCCAAACGGCCAAGTATATCTGGAGTTTGTTGGCGCATTCTCTGGGAGCTGACTGAGGCCTGGTAATATGGATCAATACTGGACCTGGATCAAAAACATTCTTCCCCAAGGCTCTCAAATGCATGCTGTTGGGTTGGCAGCTGTGTGGTGGGCGATTTGGGGCACTAGGAACTCAGTGTGCTTTGACAATAAAAGAATCAAATCTCCTACTGAGATTGTGTGTATGATATGCTCGTTCCTCACTTATTGGGCAGGTTTGCTAAATATAAAGGACGACTTGAAGCAGCAGGTTGTCCAGGGAGCGGAAGTGGTGAAGACGGCGGCCCTCTTCTTCCACAAGCAAGATGTCCAGATGAATGGCCGGGATGAACGTCAGTTGATTCCATACTCCAGCTAGGGGATCGCTTGGATGGACGGGACCTGCGAGGATATGTGATCGTTCCTAGGCAGGGTTCTGGTTTTTTGCTGTAGTATAGTGCGGTGTTGATCGTGGATCACGCGGTGAGCGGTGTTGATCTTCTTAAGGGCAGTAGTTTATGCTCATTCATATGTTCCCTTGGTGATCATATGTTTGAGCGTTTCGTCTTTTCGGATAGTCTATGTAGTGCAAATCCTGAACTTGGTACTTTGTGTAATTTCGTTGCTCCGGTAATGAAATTCGGGTTTACAGTTGTGGGAAAAAAATAAACATCTTTCATGTTTATAAGCTATTAAAAAAATTATCCTAATGTATATATGTTTACTTGGTATACATGGTCAAACATAGCATTATGGTTATTTAATTTCACAGTTGTAGAAGTTTGTAATTTAGAAATATATGTCTCGTATATACATGGTCAAACATAGCATTGTGATTATTTTAATTTCATAGTTGTAGAAGTTTGTAATTTAGAAATATATACATGCCTCATAGTTGTAGAAGTTTGTAATTTAGAAATATATATGTCTCATACTTTATGAATATTGATTTATATTTTTAATAGCATATATTAGTATTTACATATAAATTTGAGAGAGGTGGGTAATTTAGATGCAATGTGAGAGGGTTATTATGAATTATGTTTCATAATGACAAAATGGGTAATTTATATACAAATTTAGGGGGTTATTTTGAATTATTTTTCATAATGACCAGTGTGGGTAATTTATATACAAATTTAGGGGGTTATTTTGAATTATCTTTCGTAATGGCAGAGGTGGGTAATTTATATGCAAAATTAGGGGGCTACTTTATGTATTTTTCATAATAGCAGATGTGGGTAATTTTTTTTATAAATTACAATTGATCTAATGGCTATTGTCAGAGATGATTGTTAGTGTCTACCTAAGTAAAGGCAAGATGTTTCTGATTATCGTGAGAATTTCTATGATTTATCTTTTTTTCCTAGCACGTCTAGTGAGAGTTAACGTGGTGCCTCTGTTGAGACCTCTAATTATTAATAGTAAGATAAGAAGATTGCCAGGTTTAGGCCTAACTGGTTTTTGGGAAGAAAAGTTTAGGCCTAACTGGGCCGAACTTTGCTGAGTACTAGTACTGTACTTGTCAGAGAGAAGAGAGGCCCCACGGCGAGAGCCCAAGCACTGCTAGTGCTTTTCAGTTTGGGCCGAAATACTGAGGAAACGGGGATTCCGAAGGCGCCAAAACGGGCAAGGCAATGGCGAACTCTCGAGCTGCCGTCCCTGCCGAGCCCCGACGAGAGCGGGCGCCAGCTGGGGGAGGGAGACTCACCAGACTCGGTGGCTGGTACTCAGCACTCGGGCATCGTGCAACGTGAGATTGGAGTAGCTGGCGCAGCCGACGACTTGGTCGACTAGTGGAAGCGCCGTTCCATTGCGGTGCTTCCAGTCGTGCTCGCCACCTGCTCGACGCAATGCTCAAGTGGCTTCGGCGCTGATGTGTTTGCGTACTTATTGAGCCCTGAATAAAATGTTTTAAGTTGCACATGAAGCACCTTGCTCGACGCAACGCTCAAGTTTCAGCTGATCAGCTCCGGTGTGGGCCGCACGGCTCCTATGTCCTGGCTGGTGGTTACCTTTTGCACGATGTGCCGCATAGGTTGAAGAAACGACGAGAGCTCGAGGTACGCCACGCATTTTGCGCCCCTGCGTCAGTGTGTCCAGTGTCCTGTGCCCAAGCCCAAGGTAGGACGCAGCTGAGGTTTCGGTATAGTTTTGCTTGTTGTGTGAATATTTTCGTCTTTCCCCTTCCAAACATATCTTAAGGCTCCAGTTATAGAAAATATTCTAACATAGTGAATTGCAAAGAAAAGAAAATATCCTAAGCACACTTAAAAGAATGTAAAGGGTTGTCAAGCACATATATACCAATGATCAGATTATCTTCCAACCTGCAATGCTATTTCAGTTTTTTTTTTTTTTTTTGGCCAATGTTTGGCCAACCAATGGGTTACCAAATTGGTGTCTAAAGTTTGCTAGGGCAAGGTGGAGCAAACTTTCCCACAGTCTAGAAAATACCACTGATTAGTAAAGGAGGATGTAGGCATCTCTAATTTTTCAGAGTATATCATTCAAATTACCATTAAGATGACAGTGACCATTGTGTTGAATGCAAAAGTGTTTTAAGAAAATGTGCACTTCTCAAAACTGTACTTGTTTGTTGTACTTCTCGATTTCAATTCAATATAAAAGAATTGAAAATAGACGCACTGTGCTTACTAAAACATGACATGTAAATATGTAATAAAATTTGTAAAAATGCAGCTAAAAAACTCCAAACTGTTAGCACCTCCAAATGTGAGAATGCAAAAGTTTAATTGAGCGTGGTGTGCAACTATGCCCGGGAAACCTGATGTCCCAGAAATTAAATCATCCTTGACAGCTGAAACCGATCGAAGAAAGGCCATATAGTCAGTGGTAGATTGCGTAGTATGGCTAGGTCAGGCGGCCGCCATACCTTGAATTTTCTGTGCCCTTTTCCATCCTGGCTTCATCAGCACATACGCCGTTAATCAAGGCATGGAGCTCCAACAGCCCAACTGTGTCACACCTCATCTTTTGATCCAACCTCAGCCACTGCATATACTCTCTGGTGGATGAAAGTTCAAAGGGTGACAATTAGTACAGTTCCCAAGACCCATCTTAGCCATCAAAACTCTCATAGTACATGCATCCCACTGAAGGACATTCAGTACCGAGTTCCATGGGCACTTCTGATCAAAATGAACATGTGTTTACATTTTGTAGCAAAGCAACATTCTGAGTTTAACAGGATGACTTACTAACACACCCCAGAGAAGTATTTATGATTATCTATTTATCCGAGCTAGCTTTGTATCGAGTTACTTTTTCTTTGGAATCTGATGATGTTTCGGAGTTCCAGTTGTTGACAGAGCATGATGGTAAGTAATAAATGATTAAAATAGCAAACAATTCAAAGAAGTGTTGGCTTATGCTTTCTTACGAACCATACAATTACATTTTTATAAAGAAACATTATAAGCACATCAGTGTAAAATTGTTTCATAAATTATCTTTTCCTGTAGAACTTCATTAAGAAATACCTTTGGAAATTGACACTTCAAGAACCAACTGTTCTTTGCCTTCTGCTTTTAGCTCAGTACAATCACTGGTTAAAATCCTCCTCAGTTTGATGATCTGCCCTCGACCTCCCTGGAAGTATACCTTGCAACTTTGAAGATTCAAAACCTCAAGTGATCCTAAACAATCACATGGAAGATAAATTCTGCCCAAACAATGGTGGACTTTTAAACACAAGAAACATTTTAACTCCTCTGAACAGCTTGGTCTACATGCAAGCATTTCGTCACATCCTGAAATATCAAGTTCCTCAAGTGATGCTTGTAAGCAACATAACGGCATGCCACTCAAAACTTTGCAATTCCTGATTTGGACCTTTCTAAGATGTGGAAACTGGAGGTTCCACGAGTCTTGCATTTCTTCTATATCTGACCACTCCCTCCAATTTGGCATATCAAGGAACTTGAGCTCCTCAAGTGATGGAAATACCCTGTAACTTTTTCCATAAAATTCGCTTCCAATTTTTTCAACTACCGATAGGCCTTGTAGCACTAAAATCAGAAGGGAAGGGAGTTGGCCGAGAGGTGGAAGCGTTCTTAACTGTTTACATTCAACAAGATGAATGTGCTTCAGTTTGGTGAAACGCTCCCTATCTGCCATCCATGCTGGAAGTCCTACTCCCATGTAACATTGAATCTCGAGCTCTTCAAGATTTGCATTTGGTTCTAGGCTGTTAAGCGTTTCCATGCAACCATAAGATGCAATTGTTGATGTGCCTGTTGCCAAGCCCCATTTCAACACCAACTTTTTTAAGTACACTTTTTTGGATAGTACAGCATCACGCTTATCTATGTGGGTTACTTCCTCGAGATTACTGATACAAAGTTTCCTGCTAATTTCATTCAAGTTCTTCAGTTCTGTTATTTTGTGCCCTTCTGTTTTGCCAACAGGAAACTCCTCTAACCCTTGGAGATTTGTCAGCTTCCCTATCTTGTAGACTAGAGAAACTGTCTGAGCTTCTGCATATAAGAAATGGAGGTTACTTAACTTATTCATATCTCTAGGTAACTCTTTGAAATGACATCCTCGTAGCCCGAGAACTTGAAGAAGGTGCAGCTTACAGAGGGAGTCTGGAATTACTGTTATCCCATTGAAGGAAAGATCCAGAAAGTAAGTGAGGGAATTTACTTAAGAAATCAGGAAACTTTCTTAACTTCGCTTCAGAGTAAGAGAAGTCTAGTACCCGTAGGCTACCAGGATGAGCCAAAATATTAGCAAAAGCTTCATGTGATCTAATTGTTCTGCGCCCATTAAAAAATAAAACTGTCCGTACCTTATTGGCCTCCCCTAAATCCAAGTGCTCATGAAAATCAGAAATATCGATGACCAGGTGACGATGAAGTTGGAGCCTTCTTTTGGGTTCTCCAGAATCTGTAGCCGCATGGCATTCTTTTCCAGCAATGACTTGTAATGGCTCTTTGATCATACCAGGTATGGTGTACTTGTTTTTCCATATAGTGGACTGGAAGAATGAGTGGTTGAAAAGCTTATCAAACCATTCCTTTTCCATGTCCTCCACGCAAATTCCATCATGTTGCTGCATGAAACTAGCTATCCACATGTGAACCAACATGTTCTTTTCAAACAAATAACCAGATGGGAATATCGAACAGTAACCCAAACACTTTCTAAGATGATCAGTTAGATATTCGCACATGATTGCTACTGAAGGTAGAGCTACATTTTCACTATCATCATCTTCAGAAAAGAGCCACCAAGGATTTTCAGAAATTTTTTGCCAATGTCCCTCATCTAACTTTTGTCTTAGCAGCCTTCCAATTGCTTCTGCTAGTAAAGGTAAACCATGCAAATTTTGCACTATTTTCTTGCCAATTGATTCAAGGGATGCTTTTTTCTGCTTTCCAAATGCATGATGCTCAAAAACTCTGCACATGATTTGGAATGGTAGATGATCCAGTGAAACCTGAGCTGTTGTTCTGAAAATATTTGCATCCTCTTTTGACCGTGTTGTTAACAACACAACACTCCCGTTTGCCGCCCCTTTCAGTGTTGAACTTAGGGAACCCCAAAGTTCGCGCAGATTATCCTGTACATCATCAAGAACAAGGAAGAACCTCTTGTTCTCTATGGTACTGGATAAAGCGCTCTCTGAAGGACCAGTTTGTAGACTATCTTGTTGCTCCATCCCAAAAGAATCAACAATATCTTTGGCAATGTCCTGTTTATTGTGATTGCGACGGGAAGCCATCACCCACCCCCTTAACGCAAAATCTTCCTTGGCATTTGGATTGCTGTAGATTACCTGAGCAAGAGTGGTTTTGCCCACACCAGCTGGTCCTATAACAGCAATGACAGAAAACTGCTTGCTGGATTGCACACAATCTTGAGGCTGTTGCACAGTTGGGAATATCATGTTTTGCAGCTGTCGTTTCTCTTTGTCCCGACCGATGACCACCGGTTGTGTCGGTGGCAATGGCAGGGTGGTTCTTATAGTCACCCCCTCCTTGTCAGCCAAAGCCATCATGCCATGGAAATCAGGTCCACCGATATGACTGATGATCTTGTTCAGCTTCATCAGTACATCTTTGAGCCTCAGGAGATCAGTGTCAGAGAGGTATTTCGTCACAAACCTGAGAGGGAAGTACACGACCGAGCTAACCTTCTTCTTCTTAAGCACCTCCCGGATTCTCTTAGTTTCGAAGTCGTCGAGCAGGTCCTCGGCCTCGGAAACGACGTCCTTGAATTGCTGCAGCCATGTGGCATAGCTGCTGTTGGAGATGGCCCTGCGCTCGGTCACCTCGACCAGGATCTGGATCTGGGGCAACGCTTCCTTTACCCTGTACAGCATCTCGATGGATTCAGCATGCAGGGTGTGGTTGTCCTCCAAGATGGAGCGCACCTTCGCCACGAAGTTGGAAATCACAGTGGTGGCGAACCACCCACCGACCGTCAGCTCAGGTCCAACCATTCCTAGATTGAGCCTGTGCTCTCAGGGATCAGGGGAGAGCTTGAGGAAGAATGAGAGACTCCCTCCAGATGCAGTGGAGGCATCTTAGCAGGTCAATGAGTGGTTGCTTGGAAACAGTCAATGTGCCTTATTATGCCACTTTGTTTCTTGTTTTTTTTTCCAACCAAATTGTCTGGTGGAATGACATTTTAGCCATCGCCTGCTTAACGCAGACTCCCTCCCTCCAATACTAATACTACTAATAATAATTACGCTATGAGATGCGTGCTGGTCAAATTATGGCCCTGTTTGTTTCGCTGAAAAAACAAGCCGAAATACTATTCCGGCTGATTTGTTGTAAGAGAAAAACACTGTTTCGGCTGAAAAAAAAAAAACAGAAAAGTACGGATTATAAGAGAAGCGAACATGGCCTATACATCGGATCCGTACATCAATAACTTTATATATTTGTATTGATTAGCAACATTTGTATCACTAAATATATCAGTGATTCATCTAATGGTACTAATTATGCATTATAAATATTAATCTTATCTTTTATATAATTGGTCAAAATAAAAAATGTTTAACTTCTCGAAAAGTGAAAATAACATTCTTTCTGCGACGGAGAGAGTATACCCGTAGAGATGCTACCCAGAGAAAAACCTTTTTAAACTCGATGATGCAACATGCTGATTGCTAAGGGTTGCTCCAATGCTAAAAAACTAGAAAGTCATTATTCATACAAATTATATTCTTAATAGATAATTTCTACATAATATTTTTTTCAATCACATATCTTCTCTCTCCATCTTTTACCTATCACATAGGAGTATATTTTATGTCTCGGTTCCTTTGTAGACATGTTTTTTTAGACACTCCTAATGTAGAAATCAAGCGTGATTTCTATTTCTATTAATTATCCTGTCACATAGACATTACGCTGATGTAACAAGTAGTTTATTGAAAAGAGAAAATGGAAGAAACGAGAAACTGTCTTCATGTGGATCGATGGTAGAAGAAACTATGGGTTATGTGTTGGGGAGGGTTGCTCGTTTCTTCCCTGATTGGAGCATCGCGCCTACACACTTGCCTCGCCTCGCCACATCTGGCCATTCGTGAAGAAGCTACGCATGCTGATGAGTCGCTCTCCACATCCCCGCCCTCCGCGCCATCCCACCATCCCACTCACCTCTGCCCACCATGCCCCTCGCCACCGACGATGCGCCCCGCTGCCATGTCTACCGCCAGATGCGTGTATCCCACACCTTTAGCCTCGCCCCGACTGCGCCGACAAACCTCGTTGAACCCCCTCACACCGACGGCAACATCCCGCACCACCCCGGCTCGCCTCTCCATCCCCTCACCACCATGTTGGCTCGTCGTGGTGGTGGCCCCTCGCCTAGGCGGCGCCTTGTCTCGTCGATCCGCGCAAGCTCACCGAGCGGATCAGCCACGCTGGCCTCAGCTGCTCTCGTTGACAAGGACGTGTGCCGCACCGTTTACCAAGCCACACGGTGAGGACTTGTGAGAGAAAAGAGGGAGAGAATGACAAAGAGAGTGGATTGGATGGGGGTAAGAAAGGGTCTCAAATGAAAAAATCTGCGTTGTGAGGCGTGGTTTCCATGGGTAGTTTATTTTCTCAAACATGTAGGAGGACTGCGTATTATTTTATCAGTAGGTCAAAAAAACATTCCGAATACATGCCGATTCCATGGTGCGGGTTAGTTTATTTACATTCGCGCCCTTTTAATTAGATATGGGTAGTTATTTTGGCTATGGAAACTACCGGCAGTTTGTACACTATAAGTATCCTTATATAAGAAACCATTTTCTTCACTTTTTTCTTTAGTTACAGGCTACATCATCATTTTGTTTAGTTAACATTCTGATTAATGAACATAGAAATCATGTAGTTTGTTGGTCAGAGTGCCTGACCACTTGGTAGCGCTTGATTGTGAGACTAGTTGGAGTGGGATGGTCCTGTCTGTTTTTGGCACTGGACGAACCCATTTTGTGTTTGGTTGAGGAGGGACTAATCGACCAATTTTTTTTGTTTGCTGTAGGGACATCAAAAAGTGAGAGAAGACAATGACGTACTGGACCTAACTGCCAGATGCGACAAGCTCACAATCCCATCCCACCTGGGAGGACTCTGTCCCATAGCTTTTTTTAGAACAGAGTCATCCTGCATGTAAAGAAATGAGTAAATTGCATGGCCGGTCCTTAAAGTATTATGTGATTCTCGTCTGGGTCCCCAAACTACGAAATCACACGTTTGACTTCCTAATGTATTTAAGTGATCTCATCTAGGTCCAAAATAGACTAGAGGATGGTTAGAAGCTGACGTGGCTATCCACGATGATGGTTATAAGCTGACATGGCTGTCCACTTTCCCCTTGCCCGGTTGAGCTCGGCTGACCTCGCCGCCGGCATGGCCAGGAGCGCGAAGGCCTGGTGGTCCCGGTCGACCTCGCCGAAGAAGGGGCTCGCGGAGTACCGAAGCATGCGGGCGTCGAGCCAAACAATGGTGTCTGTCTTGAGCATGCAGAGGCACCACACGTGGGACTGCGCGGACTGGATGCACCGCACGCGCCATCGTCGTCTGACATGATGCCACCGGCCGGGCCGCTCCCATCGCTGTAGTTTCCGCCACTGGACCTCAATGACAGATGCGGTGGCTGTGGTTTGAGCGCCGCACCGTCTTGGAGGCTGCTGCGGCTCTCGCTGGATAGCCACGTGGTGGCTAGGGCAAGATCCGGCCGCGCGAGATCCAGACCTCGGCCGTCGCCGGCGCACCATTGTCTCCATCCACGACGCTGTGAGCCCGGTCGTGCTCCGGCGTCTCCACCCACGGCCTCGCGTGAGGGAGGTCTCGCGGCCATGCGTGAGCCACGATCCGCGGCGACACGAGGTCCTACCAGTGGTCGCTCGAGCAAGGCTCCGTAGTGGGCACGAAGTCCCACGGCCGCACGTGAGCGAATTCCCGCCGACGGTCACGACGATCCGCGGCAAGTTTGGCGTGCGCCCTCTTGCTCCTCAACCACCTCCTGGAGCTTCTCGAGCGCCTCGGCGTCAAGGCCACAAATGGCAGCGGCGTTCCAGCTGTGCCGACACCGCCTATCGGGTTCATAAACCCAGGTCCCTCATGGACCTGCTTTCCAGCAAAAGATCGGCCCAGCAGACAATGTTGTGAACGACACGCAACTACTGGGCTGGCCCAAAAACCTAACGACAGTCCAGAAGGATGATCCAATCTCCGACTAGAAGGACTAGCCAAGGAGGAACGACGCTCGCTTTTGACCCCGGCCCACCTCTTGGACCGGAAGGCCTGACCAAGGAGGAATGGCGCTCGCTTTCGACTCTGACCCACCTCTTCGACCAGAAGGCCTGGCCAAGGAGGAACGGCGCTCGCTTCTGACTCCGGACTGTCTCTCCAACCGGAAGGCCTAGCCAACGCCGCTTCCGACTCTGGCCCACCTCTCCAACCGGAAGGACTGGCCAACGCCGCTTTTGACTCTGACCCGCCTCTCCGACCGGAAGGCTTGGCCAACGCCGCTTCTGACTCCGACCCACGTCTCTGACCGAGGATGCACTGAACCTCTGCTTACAGCTCTTCTTCGACTAGCGTAGTCGGAGCTGACTGGGACCAACCGACCGGGGCCACCCGCTCGGTGAGGACCTAGGAAACGAGTGGAGCAAGTAAGGTAGGGCGCTCAAGTCAACCATAATACCAGGGACCGTACCTTGTACACCTGCAGCACAGTACCAACAGGGCATGTCAGAAGGGTGCCCTGCCACATTCCAGGCATGTCAGAACCCAAGCAGTGTTGTGGGCACCGATGTTTGCCCTACAGTGTTGTGGGCGCCCTCAACTCCCATACCAGGCAAACACGGTAAAACCCCCCACATGCCTCTAGGCATCAACAGTGTTGTGGGCGCCGTCATTTGCCATACATGGTGAATCCGATAAAACCTCCCACATGCGTCTAACATAAACAGTGTTGTGGGCGCCTACAATCATTATTGTACCCGACGATGTGGGCAGCAAGACTTAGTAGCATACATAAACTCTCCCTCCCTCACTTGTAAGGCTGTCCCCTTCGTCTATAAAAGGGGATGGCCTCTCTCCCAATAAAGACGACTCTGAGACGATTCGAACATACACGATCGACATGATCAAGACGATCCGAACGACCAAGGATTCCAACAGAGCACACGCTCAAATACTTAGCGCACGTAAGAGCTCCCATGACTCTCGACCCTTCGGTCCAGAGTCCAACCGGACCGCTTGCGCCCCCTATCTTACTCCCTTCCGTTTGTAACCCTACAACAAACTTCGAGCACCTAGGCTCGGGAATAAAATCACCGACCGACTCAAACTGGACGTAGGGCACGTTGCCTGACCAGTATAAACCCTATGTCATTGAGTGCTAGGCCACATCTGATCACAACGTACTGCAAAACTACAAATATTTACGTGTTGGTCACTTTCTGCACCGACAGTTGGCGCCGTTCATGGGGAAGACGCCGTACGTTCATGCTTTTGGTCATCGGATGGCCCACCTTTCCGCCATCTTTGCCATGGTGGGCTCAAGCGATACGACTCTCTTCGGCTCGCTGGAGTTTCCCGTACTCCCACCTGTTGGGATGTGGGTTCCACCCATCTTCGAGCCATCCCAGGCCTTCCTCTTTGGAAGCCTGGACTTCATTGCCGACCAGCTCGGCGTGCTTCGCCTTCGCAAGAAGGCACTTGTTCCGGCACCCACCGAAGGGGCGCCCTCCATCGGCTTCGGAACTCCCGGTGACCTCAACGACGAGGCGCCTACGCTTCGCTCTGAGCCTATGCTAGGCTCAAACCCCTCTGCGAGTAATGTATGTACTGTTATTTACTTGCTATTTACTATTTTCCGCTGATTCTCTAGAGGGACCCCATTGTCCCTGCCGCGACCGTCGTGCGACTGGTTCCCCTATGTCCTCGTGTCCCCTGCGGACGCATATGCATGGGGGGCTCCAAAAGA